TATGCTATCACATGCCCCCTCAGCATAAGTACTGCACCCCACACCTCTTTAAAATTCAATATAAATACTTAAAATAAGATACCTGGGAATCCGGATGTTACACCTTATTTTTATTTGCTTAATCCCTAAGCCACCATTAGTTTCCTTATTGCATTCCAACTCTAATATTCCATATTAATTTCATCTCCATTCAACTATAAATACCCCATATCATTCCACTATTTTCATCATCTATGATATTCCACTTCGACTTGTGCGACAAGAAAACTTCATAGCTGCCGTTTTGAGGGTCTAGAAGGCGGCCGGAAGGCCGTTAAGCTGACAGGAGCGAAGATCTGAAGGATTGGAGAGCATATCATGTTGTTAATCATGTAGTTTGTTAACGTGAAAATGTTTAGCATTCCATTATGATTCTATATGCAATTACTTTCTGATTTGGGTGTTAAAATCCTTTGCTTTGTGTTTTTGATTAGATGAAACCTTGATTTATGGATTAATTGCTATGTTGATTGTTTTATTTGTTTTTAATTTATGTTGTTAAGCTTGTTAAAAGCTCCTTATGTGTTAATGATAATTATTTTCTATTAATAATCAAGTTTATTGAGTTGTATGAACATCTTCTTAATTGCTTGAATCATATAGTTTTGTGAAAGCAAGATTGTATGCCTAGTATTAGTGAACATGAACCTAGGGTTAACTAGAAAAATAAGTAAGTTAATTTGTGAGCATGTGTGATGAACAACCACATATAAGTTGATTGAATTTACAAATTTAATTAACTAATATTACAAGTCTTGCTTGATACGAACTGAACACTAGGAAACTTGTTAGTTTAATCAATTGGTTATTGTTTGAATTGACTTGTTTGCTAAAAGGGTTAGTAATAGTGAACATGAACCTAATCATTTTAGAAATCGGTGAACATGAATAAATAAATTTGTGTGTGCAATTATCTATGATTTTAAGATGTAATTTGTCTAAACCAAAGTACCTAAAGAGATTTGTCTTCGGTCAGTTTCTCGAGATTTGCTATTTATTCGTTTGTTTGAGATTTAATTCCATAAAAACCTTTCTTTACTGTTTTCGTGTGTTTTGTGTAACCTATAATCAAACATTCTAAATTAATTCACTACCGTTCCCCTTGTGTTCGACACCCTTGCTTATCAAAGCTATACTATACTCGATCGGGTTCACTGCCTGTAAGGTGTGGTTTAGATGCGATAAACTAGGAATTATAAATAAAAAACTAGTGCATTAAAAATACACATCAATCGCACACACGACATGGATTCCGCTTTTGAGATATCACTCTAATTGTTTTTGATATTGAGATACTTATTTTCGTTTGAGTTGTATGGATATTGTTTTTGGAATACTGATTTATTTAAATTAAAAATGAAATTTTTGGATCATATTTTTGGGACGTTTCATACTTGGTTCCTAGACAGTAGGTGTTCTAGACACATGACCGGTCTCAAGTCCCTCTTAACATATTTTGTGAAGAAAGACGGTCCTATGGTGGTTTTTGGCGACAACAATGAAGAAGCTGGCATGGGCTTTGGAACTTTTGAGTGCAGGGTGTTCAAGCTGAAGAATGTATTCTATGTCAAGGGTCTAACAAGCAATATTATCTCCATCAGTCAACGTTGGCCCTGTTTGATTTGGATCTGACTAGGTCACATCAGACAAAAATGTTTGACTCGGTCAGCTCCATGTGTTTGATATGCCTAAGCTTTGCATCTGACTGGATCAACAATATCTGAGTCGTTCAAACCAAAAAAAAACTTGCTGACTGAATCTGAATGAAATCCATTCCACCATTGCCCCTCAACCAGCACCACCCTCATCCTCCTTCCCCACAGCCATCAATTTAATCCATGGAAAGGAGAAAAGAAACACGAACAAAGGCACACAAACAAAAAAACAAACAGAGCCTGCATCGATGCTCAGCGAGATCAGGGGAAGAAGACAACTCAAAATCAAAAGTAGGCAACTTTGGTCCTTCAAGATACCTATATTTCCCAAATCTACCACAACTTTAAATTGTCTTGCATAACTAATTTCTGGAAATTACTAGTTGGACCCTGAACTTTTATAATCAATTATTGTTTTATTATTATTATTATTATTATTATTATTATTATTATTATTATTATTATTATTATTATTAGAGCATCAGGGTAAAATGGTCATTTTGCATCAGCCAGCACATTCAGTCAGATATACAATCAAACAACATGGTTTCTTACTTAGTCAGAATTTGTTACTCAGACAGACATTTCCCAATAAGCACTTTCTCAGTCAGCAACTATCAAACGGGGCCTTTGTGACTCTGGTTATAAGGTTTTCTTTGATTTCCATGGAGGAATGGTTTTTTACTCTAAGAACAAAATTGTGCTTATTGCTCTCAGGTACAACAACATCTATATGGTTTGATTTTACTTGTTTAGACAATGCTACTTTATGTTTTAAGTTTTGTTTATGCTTTGCTACTTTAAAATTTCTAAGTTGTTACTGTTTTAGTTTATTTTGATTTTGTTTTTCGATTTTTTTTACTTTTATTTTACCAAAGAAGTATACATTGTACATTATTCTATTAATGTTGTCTATACATGTTCTTCTCTATCGATAGTGATCTTAACTGATTTGTTCATTTGAAAAGGATCAGTGTATCATTCCTTCAATGCAGTATCCTCAAACTAGAGCTAGTTGATGCTGACTTTGCATCCTTTCTTCAGCACCAACTTCTCTCTTACTAATGATGATGCTCACACAAATAGATATGTTGCATCCTGTTAATGAGGCCAGATAGGAGAGAACTGTGCCAAAATGTGTTCTTCTAGGCACATATCTCTTTTCGGGATAGTCTATCTCTGTTGTAATGGGATGATGTGAATCTAGGTGACGTGGCACATCTATTCTCATAGACGCTCTCAGTGCTACACCGAATCCCCTCTAAAATCCAAAAACATCTTCAACAAGACAATGGCCACCTTCTCTTCCTTCACGGATCACAACGAGTGGAACCTTCGAATTTTGTCTTGGTGACTCTCATAACTCGAAGGTTACAAACATTGGATCCTCTTAACTCATTGGTTACAAAGACTGGTTCATGTTCTTCTCTTGTTCTTGGTGAACATGAAGCTTGGAATCAATCTGTAATATCTCAATGATTAAAGGCATTCTCTCTCTTTGTTTACTATGAATTATGTTTTTGTTTGATATATTTGATCTTGTTTGCTCTCTTTTATAGATAGTGTAACATAAAAGAATGGTCGATAATGGGGCTGAGCTCCTTTTAGGGTTTTTTTAGTTTTTTTTTACAAAAACAATGTAACATCATGATTTTTTACCCTAAAAAATTATTTAATTTAACACATTTTTAACAGAAAATACAACGGAAGTTTTAAGTATTAATTTTAAAACATTTTCAAACCCACCACGTTACTTCAAAGTCAAAACCATAATTTCAAATTGTTTAAAGCATAATGGATGTAAATGTACTAAAAATTAAACATCAAAACGTGTCCAAAACGGTATCGTCTAAACCCAAGGTTTTAAATAACGTAAGGTGTGACTTTGGCGGCAATGTCAAGCCTCAAGCTTTTCCAAGCCTTGGCGAGCCACGTCGTCTGTAATGCGTGACTTAAGATGTCAATTTTGTATATAATTAATATTTGTATATGTATTTTCTACTACTATTCATTTTTATATTCATATATGACTTAAGGCGGCATTGGTAAAACTTGGCGGCAGGTACAAGCCTTGGGGTCATGACGAGCTTTTTAGAACATTGTCTAAACCTTAATTTGTTATGACCCATAATTGATATTATTCAAAAATATTATTATCCTGAATCGTATCTTTTGCAAAACAATCGGCTTAATTCTACACACTGTTGATAAGCCATGTCCTCATTTATTATGTTATATAGTTCTATGATTTAGAAAATGTAATGATACAAAACTTTTTATGAGACATAAAACTTGAATGGGTTGAATATGTTAGCATCCAAATTGTTATGATCCAGAATAATATGGTCCAACATACTATGAATCAAAATGATATCATCAAAAATCTTACAAACCAAAAAGATTTATGAACCAAACTCTTTATGAAAAAAAAAAAAACATTATTTCGTTGACAATGATTTGACTCAAATATATCTTTATTCAAATTGTTTATGATTCGTAAGTCTTATGATCTAAAAATATTATAATTAAAAAATGTTATGAATCTTATTATCTTATTATTCAAAACTTTTATGATCCTTAAACTTTAAAACTTGAACCTACCCTTCAAAAAACTAAAAAATAGTAAAATAAAAACAAGAAAAAATGAAAATAATGCATGAAAGTAAAGATTATTTGACATCAGTATAATGCATGAAATGAATGACACCACTCCAAGCTTAAGATTAAACATCTTCATTGATGTTAAGAAAGGGCTAGATATATATATGGGTTGTTTGGTGTATTGCAGCTTAAGGGATGTCAAATATGCATCTTTAAAACCATAGTATAGACCTCATATTGTGCTACTACTCGGTTCCTATCTTGGAAAAGATACACATGTACGCCTCATGGTGGCAGTGGTATGAAAGGCCAAACTATGTCTACTTTGCGAATAGTCGGCCAAAGTGAAAATGAGTGGGGAATTCAAATAATGAAAGTGCCCTAAAATAAACTACATATCAAACCACCAATCGAATAAAATACATACCAAGCATTACTTATGGTATCTATGAACACTTGTAAAACTAAAAAAGATTTAGCGACATTTAAAACAAATTTGTACTTTTCACACTAATTGACTTTGCGTAATGAATTTAATAACCTTGCAAACCAAACATAATTATCTTAATAAACTTGTCTGAGATAACAAAACTTCAAAAACAGTAAATTAAAGATAAATTCAAAGCCCCGGGTTGCCTCTTGAGCATCGTCTTTGTTTATTATCTTTGGCTAGACTTCATGACTCTTTCTTCTTTGTGGATTATTTTACTTTAGATTGAACTCAGTTTGGCTTGGAAACCACTCTTTAGCTTCCAACTTTCCAACAAATGCAACTAATTGCTCAATAGCTTTCTCAAGATTCTTTAAACTCGCCTGGGTATCCTGTATGTATTGTTGTTGTGTGATCACGAGGTTCTTCACAATATCCTCTAATGACTCACATGAGCTACTCGCTTGAGGTGTGGGTAGTGCAAGTTGCGGATGTTGAGGCTGAATATCCTGTTCTTGAGGTCGATTTGGTGGTGTCTGTTGAGATTCTTGTGGTGATGGTTGTTGATTACTTAAGTTAGGACTCGGATTATTATGGGGTTTCTTATATTCTCGCACATTTGATATAATCCTGAAGAAGACATGCTAAGATTGGAAAAGATAACCAATATTAACCTAGAGAATCAATGAAGGAATGATTCTTGTAATTAACACAGCCTGATTGGAGAACTGAAGATGAATAAAAGAGTGTGTAATGTATTTTGATTTTTCCATCTATTAGAAAAGTCTTATTATTTTGTCATTGTTTATGAAAAAATCATAATTTTTATTTTTTGAATAGAAACTCTTGATTATCTAATATTTTGCCAAAATTAACAGAAAATCCTTATTTTTTTAATTGAAAATGACAAATTATCGTGTAAAATTAGATAATCGAGATTCATGTGTTCAAAAAATAAAAGTTGAGATTTGTTGAGTGTGAATCCACGTCAAAGTGGTCCACAGAAAAGTTAGTCAAAAAAAGTTGATTAAAAAGGAATGGTGATCCGGTTCTTACGGACCATGTTTTGTGGCTTTCCTTTTCTCCATTCAATCCTATATAAGATTGTATTGTATCTGTAGTTTGATAACACATAGAAGAAGAAATAAACACTCCTAGTTACCCTCGTGTGGACGTAGGTCAGAGAAAGACCGAACCACGTTAAATCCCTCGTGTTCATCCTTGTGTTCTTGTTTTCTTTCGTGAGCTGTGCGTGTGTTTCGTGTCTCGATCCTAACAAGTGGTATCAGAGCGTTGGTTTAGCTCCAGAAGGTGATTTTCAGTTTTTTGGTCGAAATTTGTTTTCGTAAAAAAACGATTTTGGTGTATACCGTTGGAAAGGTCTCGTTCCGAAGATTCCGAAAATATTTTTTTCTGAATTTTTCGACCACCGGAAGACGTCCAAATCGCCGGTCAAAGGTTCGCCGGAATAGTGACCGGGAAAACCAGTTCACTGGAGAAGACGACACTGTAGCGCCGGAGCCTTGCCGGAGAAGACGACACTGTACGCCGGAGACCTGCCGGAGAAGACGACACTGTAGCATCACTGTAGCGGCACTGTAGCAGAATTTGAAAAACTCAGATTTGGTCCCTAAAGTTCCAGAAAATTACAAAACAGGTCCCTGTTCTTTCAGAATATTGCAAAAATGGCAGAAAATGGTAAAATCAAAATTGACAAGTTTGATGGAACCGATTATGGATTTTGGAAGATGCAAATTGAAGATATGTTGTATCAGAAAAGTTTGCATTTGCCTATGTTGGGCGAACAACCGGATGACATGTATGATGAAGAATGAAAGTTGTTGGATCGACAAGCCTTGGGTGTAATTAGGCTTTCATTGGCAAAGAGTGTTGCGTATAACATTGTTAATGAAACAACTACTTATGGAGTATTTAAGGCTTTGTCCAACATGTACGAGAAGCCGTTCGCTTCCAACAAAGTGTTCCTCATCAAACAATTGGTTAACACCAAAATGAAGGAAGGCATGTCAGTTACCGCTCACATAAACGAGTTTAACTCGATTATCTCTCGTTTAGCCTCAGTTGCAATAAAGTTTGAAGATGAAGTACAAGCGCTCCTCCTTTTATCATCTTTGCCCGATAGTTGGTCAGGCACCGTCACAGCTGTTAGTAGTGCATCCGGCACTATTAAACTCACTTTCGAGAGTATTCGTGATTTGATTGTAAATGAAGATATCAGACGGAGAAGCAATGGTGAGACTTCTAGTTCTAGTTCTTTATTGCATACAGAAAGTAGAGGAAGAAGAAACGAAAGAGGACGTAGTCGAGGCAGATCAAAGTCCAGAAAAAGGGGGCAGTCCAAGAACCGAAAAGATTTTGAATGTTGGAATTGCAAAGAAAAAGGTCACTTTAGAAACCAATGTACAAAACCACAAGCTGAAAAGAAAGAAGTACACAATGTATCCTCTGAAGAATCGGGAGACTTTCTCATATGTTGTGTTGAGAATTCAATGGAATCCTGGATTATGGATTCGGGTGCCTTTTTCCATGCTGTCTCATGCCCAGATATGGTCAAGAACCTACAAACAGATGACTTTGGCAAAGTTAGTTTGGCCGATGATCAAGTGCTTGATATTACGGGTATAGGAGACGTAGATTTGAAGACCTCCATGGGAACCACCTGGACATTGAAAGATGTCAGGGTTATCCCAAACTTAAGGAGAAAGTTGATTTCAGTTGGTAAGTTGGATGATGAAGGACTTAATGTTCACTTTGGGGGTGGACAATGGAAAGTGATCAAAGGCAACTTGGTGATTGCCAAAGGAAAGAAGAAAGGCACTTTATACATGGTAGAAATACCTGGTGATGGTGTTCATGCCATAACCACCAATCCGAGTCCATCTAATTTATGGCACCAACGACTCGGACACATGAGCGATAAGGGATTGAAGATGTTGGCTCAGAAAGGGAAGTTTCCAGACTTGAAGAAAGTTGAAACTGAATTTTGTGAATCTTGTGTTCTCGGGAAACAAAAGCGGGTTACTTTTGTAAAGACGGGGAAGACACCGAAAGCTCAGAAGTTGGAGCTTGTTCACTCGGATGTATTTGGACCAACATCAGTTTCATCTCTAGGAGGCAAAAACTACTATGTAACCTTTATCGATGATTCAACACGCAAGGTATGGGTCTATTTTCTTAAAAATAAATCTGATGTATTTGATACTTTTAAGATATGGAAATCTGCTGTTGAAAATGAAACTGATTTGAAGGTAAAATGTCTGAAGTCGGATAATGGTGGTGAATACATAAGCAAGGAGTTTGTTGACTATTGTGCGAAATAAGGGATAAAGATGATCAAGACGGTCCCAGGAACTCCTCAGTAGAATGGTGTAGCTGAGAGAATGAATAGAACTCTGAATGAAAAGGCTAGAAGCATGAGGTTGAATGCCGGTCTACCCAAGACATTCTGGGCCGATGCAGTTAATACTGCAGCCTACTTGATCAACCGTTCACCGTGTGTTCCCTTGGATTTTAAATTACCAGAAGAAATGTGGCAAGGGAAGGAAGTAAGTCTCAAACACCTGAAAGTCTTTGGTTGTATTGCTTACAGTTTGTTAAAAGATGGTGACAGGGATAAACTTGATTCAAAGACCAAGAAGTGCACATTCATTGGTTATGGGTCAGATGAAATGGGTTACAGGCTTTGGGATAGTGAAAGCAGAAAGATAATCCGAAGCAAGAATGTCACCTTTAACGAAGCCGAGTTATACAAAGACAGAAACAACAAAAGTCCAGAAGATCAGAAGGAGTATGTTGAGTTTGAAGGTGTTGAAAAGAAGAAAGAAGCTCCAGTCGAAATCCCTGAATCTGGGGATGATTCAACTAACAGTGGGAGCTCAGTGGATAATTCCAATAATGATTCTGAAGATGAAGAAACCAGTCCTCCAACTCCAGAGTCCCCAGTCACACCTCAAGTTCAACTAAGAAGATCTTCCAGAGTCACCAGACCACCAAACAAATACTCACCATCTGTTAACTACATTCTCCTGACAGAGAACGGTGAACCCCAGTGTTACTCTGAAGCTATAGGGTTGAAAGATTCATTGCAGTGGGAGTTAGCAATGAAAGATGAAATGAAGTCGCTTGAGAAGAACAAGACCTGGCACTTAACAAAGCTTCCAGTTGGGAAGAAGGCTCTTCAAAATAAATGGGTTTTCAGGGTCAAAGATGAACATGATGGTACCAAATGGTACAAAGCAAGATTAGTAGTCAAGGGCTTTCAACAGAAAGAGGGAATCGATTTCAATGAAATATTCTCTCCAGTAGTGAAGATGACCACTATCAGACTTGTTCTCAGTATTGTAGCAGCAGAAGGTTTGCATCTAGAGCAGCTAGATGTCAAGACAGCTTTTCTACACGGTGACCTAGAAGAAGACATTTACATGACACAACCAGAGGGTTTCCAAGTTAAAGGCAAAGGAAACTTGGTGTGTAAATTGAAGAAGAGTTTGTATGGTCTGAAACAAGCACCCAGAAAATGGTATTTGAAGTTTGATAACTTCATGAGAAGAGTTGGTTACAAGAGATGTGACAATGATCATTGTTGTTACATCAAGAAGTTTAAGGGTTCTTATATCATTCTACTACTCTATGTAGATGATATGTTGATTGCCGGTTCAGACATGTCAGAGATCAAGAAGTTAAAGAAACAAATGTCTGAAGAATTCGAGATGAAAGACTTGGGAGCTGCAAACCAAATACTCGGGATGAGTATTTCCAGAAACAAAGAAGATGGCTCTTTGACACTCTCTCAAGAGAAGTACATTGAGAAAGTGTTAGAGAAATTCAGCCTTAAAGATGCCAAGATCAGAAGCACACCTTTGGGAAGTCACTTTAAGCTTTCTAAAGTTCAGTCACCCAAATCAGATGAAGACAAGAAAGAAATGGCTAAAGTTCCGTATGCATCTGCTGTTGGTAGCCTCATGTATGCAATGGTATGCACAAGACCAGATATCGCTCATGCAGTGGGAGTTATTAGTCGGTTTATGTCCAATCCAGGGAGAGAACATTGGGAAGCAGTTAAATGGTTGCTAAGATATTTGAAGGGGACTTCAAAGATGACATTGCATTTCAAGGGAAAAGATGTCATTCTAAGGGGTTATGCAGATGCAGACCTTGGTGGTTGTAAAGAGTCATACAAAAGCACCACAGGGTATGTCTTTATAGTGGGAGGCACTGTGGTAAGTTGGATGTCCAAACTACAGAAAAGTGTTGCCCTTTCAACCACAGAAGCAGAATATATGGCAGTTGCTGAAGCAAGCAAAGAGCTTATATGGTTGAAGAACTTTCTCGAAGAACTTGGCAAGGAACAAGTTGATTGTGCACTATTTTGTGATAATCAAAGTACTATATATCTTGCAAAGAATCCGGTCTTCCATTCGAAGACAAAGCACATACAGCTGAGATATCACTTCATCAGAGAAAGAATTAATGATGGCACTCTGAAGTTGAATAAGATCAAAGGAACTGAAAATCCAGCTGATATGTTGACTAAGGTTGTCACCTTAGAGAAGTTGAAGCTTTGCATAGCTTCAACTGGCCTTCAGGATAATTGAAGAGAAGGCCGGGTAACTAGGATGGAGTCAAGATCAAAAGTGTTTTACAGAAATACAGATGCACAGTTGAAGCACATGTGAAGATTGTTCTGTGGCTTCAAGTGGGAGATTGTTGAGTGTGAATCCACGTCAAAGTGGTCCACAGAAAAGTTAGTCAAAAAAAGTTGATTAAAAAGGAATGGTGATCCGGTTCTTACGGACCATGTTTTGTGGCTTTCCTTTTCTCCATTCAATCCTATATAAGATTGTATTGTATCTGTAGTTTGATAACACATAGAAGAAGAAATAAACACTCCTAGTTACCCTCGTGTGGACGTAGGTTAGAGAAAGACCGAACCACGTTAAATCCCTCGTGTTCATCCTTGTGTTCTTGTTTTCTTTCGTGAGCTGTGCGTGTGTTTAGAGTCGTGTGTTTCGTGTCTCGATCCTAACAAGATTTTCATTATGTAGGAAAAAAAATTTAAGACTTCTCTAACAATAACCCTATTAAGTTAAAACTGATAAAAGTAAGAAATCCCATATATATTTAGCATAACTATCTAAGCTGGCATATCTTCATACGTGACAGAATTTTACAGATTTTTACCCTAACGTTGAATCCATCTTTTGTACTAGTTTCTATAAACATACACCCGAATTTACGAGCTTGACCGTCTCCTTCTTCTATTGATACTTGCCTGTTTGACCACCAAAATTGGTAATGAACAAAAAAAATTGCCATCTTAAATTGATAAATTTAATCTGATTAAAAAGTAATGACACACCTTTTGTCAACAAGGTCGGTTTTGTTCCCAACAAGGACTATAACCGCATCATTTCCTCGCTTTGTACGCACTTCCTCTATCCACATTGAAATGTTCAAATATGACTTTCGATCTGAAATGCAACAAATTAGGGTAACTTTAAAATCATAAAGGGATATGCTACAAATAGTCATTTTTTGGTGCAAATTCCAAATTTTCGACATAAAAAATCGTATTTCCAGATATAGACATGGATTCCGTAGAACACCTTTCGAGGGCTCCGCAGAATCGACTTAATCTCCGAGAAATCGATGTGGTGCAATATATATATATATATATATATATATATATATATATATATATATATATATATATATATATATATATATATATATATATATATATATGAAGAACAATTCCGCGGAGCTACCTCCGAGGAACCATTCCTCGGAGGTAGCTCTGTGGATTTGTTCTTCATAAAAAAAAATTCACATCGATTCCTCGGAGACTAAGTTGATTCCGCGGAGCATTTGGAAGATGCTTTGCGGAATCCATGTCTATATGTGAAAATACGATTTTTTATGTCTAAAATTTGAAATTTGCCGCCAAGAAATGACTATATCGGTCCAATTCCCAATCATAAATTGGAGATATTGTGACGCTTATAAATTAAAAAAACATGTAATACTTGTTGAGGTAGGTGCTACCACTTACTGGTAACATCATACACAATAAGTACATATGATGAATCTGCAATATAACTTGGAATCAGACTCCTAAATCTCTCATCCCCACTAGTATCCCTGAAATGTGTTTAGATGTAGTGAAATAATGTATTCAATGTAAAGGTTATTTTCATATACTTGTTGATCAAACTCACAATCTCCCAATACACATCCACATCATACATACTTATAAAGCTAGCATTTTTCCTTAAACCTCATGCATTTGAAACCCCCATAAAAATTTGCAAACACCTCATGCATTTGAAACCTCCTATTTTAATGAATACCACTCAAAAGTCTCTAAATAATGATTAACAATTCAAAGGTTTTATAACTTATATAATATATTTAATAAACAATTAATTAATACTTTACTATAAAAAGGTCAATCTTTTTGAGACACAAATACAAATCACATTCAAAATTCACAAAGAAAACACGTTTAAAGTTTTTTGTGTTAGTTTGAGGGCTTTGAACAATTTTTCGAACCATGTTATTTATGTTGAAGTTTTTAATTTGTAAGTTTGTTATATACTAATTCTTTTTTTGTATTTTCTTGATTTAAGTATTCTTTTAAGAATATCATTGTATGTTGTGGTTGAAATTTTAATGTAAATTAGATTAGATTCATGTTATCGATCATATGTTATGGAAGGTGATATATATAATATTTAATTAACTATTGTATACATGTTTGTATGTTCATGTTGCTTCAAAACAATAATTAATTAAAAATCATGGATATGTCATATTATCCATATTATCCATGTAAGCCTTTTTTAAAATGCAAATTGTCTATCTTATCACTTTATATTTTAGTATATGTTTAACATTTTAATTATAATAATAAGTGTTTTTTAAAAGTTTCTTTCACTTATTAATAATAACAAGTGGTTTTAAAACTAATAAGCAATAATTATAAATTATAAAATCAAATTACATGGATATGTCATATTATCCATGCAAGTCTCTTTTGAAATGCAAATTGTCTATCTTATCACTTTATTATTTAGTGTATATTTCACATTTTAATAATAATATTAAGTGTTTCTTAAAAGTCTTCTTTAACTTATTATTAATAATAAGTGGTTTAAAATTAATGAATAACAATTTTAAATGATAATAACATCAAATTATAAATTACATTTAGCTATAAATAAATTGTATTTTAAATAAACATCATTATTGAAATTAGAAAATGATCGCATAAGTAAAAATATAATTAATAAATAATAATAATTGTTAAAAATAATACTAAATAGATAATTATATTTAATTCTATTAATAAGGAATGTGGGTTGATATCAATGATTATTATTGTTCAAAATAATTGAGATTATATATATATATATATATATATATATATATATATATATATATATTAGTGTAAAAATATTATCTCAAAGTTAATGTCAATAACATAACCATTTTAAACATATATTTTTCAATATTTTAACAATATATTTTTAATCTTCGCTGCGCAACGCGCGGGAATTCGTCTAGTTACTACATATATAAATGATAAGTGAGCGAGTTAATAGAAACAGCTAGCAATTAATTAAGAACATACCAAAGTTGTAACCGAACTGGAAAATCTTCAAGGTGCACTGTTTTCGACAAGAAATCAATGCCAATTGTACGCTGCAGTATTAAACACCTTAATTTAGAGAAACAAACTTCAGAATTATTCTAGATTAATCTGCATAGCCTGTATGCTTGAAATTATTCATCTAAATATCCAATATTGCAATGATAAGTTAGTTAACCTCTCCAATTAACACATATTATAGGAAAAAAATTAAACCCCGTAACATATCATATTGTAAGTCTCTCATGAACTCATCCATGAGACCTTGACTAAATTTAAAAATTATATATAAGGGCTCATGTATGATCTTTAGTTAACCTTATAGTAATAAGAACACATGCTTTGATGCTCATCACTAGTAAGTGGTGCATATATTCAATGCTCAGATATGCTAACGATCTAACCTGACCCATGATCCATAAGCTAATAATTTGTTACAGGAACCATAATCAAACTATCAACATGTTTATTCAACTCTTCTTATAATTAAAAAATGAGAAATAACTTATAATATAAACTAAGATTCAAGGTTATTTGTTTATGGCCATTGTTCTTGCAATATTTTGTGTACACAGTTTTTATCAATCTAACCTCAATTCTAAACAAGTACACCCTGATCCAATAACCAAATTCCAACCGAACCACATGTCTAAATAATATCCACATATGATTACCATAAAACATAGCATGAATCCGGCTGAACTGTACCTGATAGGTGCTGTCGAATTTGTCATACATAAATCTGGTAATAATGCTGGTTTTGCCGACGGATTTATCGCCCAAAACTGTTAACTTGTATTTGAGAAGGGTTGACACACCCGCCATTGATGAGTTCTTTCAAATCACGATCAAAGCGATCAGATCTCAAATTTTTGATGAAAACTGAAATGTGAAAGAAGATGGAAATTCGGAGGAGATAGAAGATGAATTATAAAATAAGGTTTGATCATCAATTAGTTTATATATATGAGTGGGAGAAAAAAAGCGCCAACTACACGAATTCAGACGACAAGCTTAAACCTCGCTCATGATTTCTTGTTTAATGACTTGCAAAGAAAGATTGACGAAATTACATATATGGTCTCCGTACTTTATAAAAAAAATCACAGGTTCCTACTTTTTATGATTATAGTTCCTATGGTTTAAGTTTATTGCATGAATGGTCCTTATGTTTTCACTTTTTTACAAATTAATCTAAATTGCTATTTTACCCAGAGTTCTTATTAGTTTTATTCTTTTTATACTTTAATTTAATTTAATAGAAAGTTATAGTTTTAGTCCATGTGGTTTACACAAATTTGCACTTTCAGTCTATTTTTTGAATTTTGGACATGGCTCCTATCTAAGCTAAAACTTGTATTTCTTCTCTTTCAGATGTCAACTCCTGACGATGCTTCTTGTTCCTCCAACAACAACAAATTCTCGCTTTTGAACATCTACTCGAGGGTTACTTTTGATGGCACTAAGTATAATGATTGGATGCGTAACATCAAAATGGCTCTACGTTTCGAGGACAATGAGTATGTGCTCGAAAAGGAACTTCTCAAGATTGATGAAACCAAAGCTACTGTCACAAAACTAGCTAAGTATAGGAAGCACTACAATGATGCAACCAAAGTGGCATGCATCATGATGACTACTATGACTCCTGAGCTCCAAAGGTTCTATGAGGATTACTGGACATAAAGATAAACAAGGACTTGATGGAAAAGTACCATAAACGACCTCGTCAAGAGAAGTATGAGGTAGTAAAGTCCTTCATCACTAGCAAGATGAAAGATGGAGAGTCCTTCAGTAGCCACGTGTAAAGAATGCAACGATACGTGGGGCGCTTGCTAAAGCTGAATGTGAACTTTGATGAGGAATTGGTTGTTGATATAGTCTTTCACTCATTGCCCAGTTGTTATGATCAGTTTATCCTAACTTGTCATATGAACAACGAAGAGACCACATTGGCTCAACTTCAGAACCTCCTCCAAACTGTTGAAGCAGGAAAGAAGGGAAAAGGTGTTGCCTCCACCCCTACTGCTGCTCCTGTCTTGGCCATTAAGCATGGAAAAGGGAAGAAGAGGAAAGGTCCTCCTAAACAGAGTTGGAAAGGAAAGTACCATGCTAGGTCCTCAAGCAATAGACCCAAAAGGAAAGGCCAGTTCTGATGCTCCCCCCACCTCTGATCCTAAAGAGGCTACTTGCTTTTACTGCCACGAGAAAGGGCATTGGAAACGAAGCTGCCCTAAGTACTTGAAAGACATAAAGGATGGCAAGTTGAAGCCAACCTCGGCAGGTATTTACACTATCTTATCTAAAAACTCATCATATTCTCATTCTTGGGTCCTTGATACAGGATGTGGTTTTCACATTTGTTCTGATTTGCAGGGGCTAAGAAAAAGTGAGGATGTGGAGCAAGGGAGAATGAACTTGATCATGGGCAATAGGCGATCGTCACCTGTTACCTAGATTGGAGTTTATAACTTAGTGCTTAGTAGTGGGTTATGTTTGGATTTGAATAATTATTGCTACTCATCATAGATGACACGAAACATCATTTCATTTCATGCTTTATATAAACAAGGTTTTAGATATTCTTTCAATAATGAGAATGGATCTATTTCTGCTTTTAGAAATGGTGTATTTTATTTTGAAGCTTTACCTTGTGATTGCGTGTATGAAACTGTGATGGTTGTAGACAACTTAGGTAATAGTTTTTTACAAATTGATTCGTCTAATGGTTTAGACAAAGCATGCTTGTGGCATTGTCGTCTTGGACATGTCAACAAGAAACGCATCGCCCAACTTTAAAAGGATGGAGTGTTGGAATTGTTTGACTTAAGGTCGGATGATACATGTGAATCTTGTTTACATGACAAAATCACCCTTCATTGGTTCTTGTGAAAGAGGTGAAGGATTTTTGGATCTCATACACACAGATGTGTGTGGGCCCTTCAGATCCACCACAAGGTATGCAAATCGATTCTTTGTGACTTTTACTGATGATTATAGTAGATATGGCTATATCTATTTAATCAAGCATAAGTTAGAAACCTTTTGAAAGTTCAAAGAGTTCAAACAAGAAGTCGAGAATCAATTGGGCAGGAAGATCAAGATGCTCATATCTGATAGAGGTGGTGAGTATCTTAGTATCTAATTCCATGACTACCTTAAGGAATGTGGAATAGTTTCACAATTGACACCTCTACACCACAACTTAATGGTGTGGCTGAGAGGCGTAGTCGAACCCTGTTAAACATGGTTTGTTCCATGATGAGTTGAGCTTCACTTCCAATCTCATGGTTTAGGGTTGTGAAGCTTTCGTTAGACGAAAGACTCACGACAAGCTTGAACCTCGAAGTGGGAGATGTATTTTTGTCGGTTACCCACAAAAGTCCTTTGGATATTTGTTTTATAGACCTAGTAACAACGTGGTTTTTGTAGCACGAAGGGGAGTCTTTCGCGAGAGAGAGCTCATATGCAAAGAGGACAGTGGGAGTACAACTGATCTTGAAGAAATTCAAGAGTCAAACGACGAAGGAACCTCTAAAAATGCTATGGCTCAACCTGAGGAAGAAATTCCAGTTGAACCAATTGACGAGTCGTTACCTCTTAGACGTTCCAGCAGAGTTAGAATGTCACCTGAGTTTTATGGTTTTCAGGCTCATGTTGTGGTCTCAGAGGCAATCCAGACCTATTCTGAGGACCATGTAATGACATCCCAGTCATAGGCTGTGGGCATAAAGATTGTGTTGGTTATGTCACTGGTAGGAGCGCGTTCGGATTGGATGTATTGTTGAGATTTGGGGGATTTGCACTCGGTTGTGACGAATCAGAGGATGGTAGATGAGACGCAAGGATAGATCCTTGGATCTCAAGTTATGAGTAGACCCGAGTCATGTCATAGAGGTTTTCCAATCTAGGGTATTCCATCCTGAGGATGACTGGACCCTATGATTGATTGGACCTGATATGTTTGGTATTCCAACCCGGGGGTTGATTGGGCCAAACATCTGTGGGGATGCGAGGGTATTCCATCCTAGGGATGTCTGGACCCGTCGTAGGCATGCCTGGTATTCCAGCCCGAGGCTGATTGGGCCAGGTATGAGTGTTCGTACTTGTTAGCTGGTTGATCATGTATGATATTTTGGGAGCTGAAGGACGCTTTATCCTGTCAGCACAAAGGGTTCGCTTCAGGAAGAGGGAAAGTTGGGTTTACGATACTTTGGATCATCAGGATTTTGCCAGGTTGGCAAAGTGGCAAGTAGAATAGACCTTTGGAAAAGGGTCGGTTGGATTTCGCATCGCCTTTCATGTTTCGCAATTGCGGAAGTGCATGTCGGATGAGGAGGCAGTAGTATCATTGGATGACATTCAGGTTGATGAACGGCTGAATTATGTTGAGAGGCATGTGGCCATACTGGAGAGGAAGACGAAAGTTCTGTGGAACAAGGAGATACCTTTGGTAAAGGTATAGTAGGAACATCGGAGGGGTTCCGAGTGGACTTGGGAGCCGGAGGCTGAGATACGAGAGCACTATTCGGAGTTGTTCATCGCAGCGGACTTCGAGGACGAAGTCTAGTTCAAGTGGGGGAGAATTGTAACGCCCCGATTCTCAGGTATTAATATTGTGGCTTTAATGTTCAAGTTTCAAGGTCTACTCGACGAGTTGGATGCCCTGACTCGTCGAGTAGTAGCGGGGTTGGGACACGTGTTTAAGTGACCAACTCGCCGAGTCGGAAGAGTAACTTGACGAGTTGGAGCTGGAGGGTGAAACCCTAATTTCCGGGGTTTTGCACCCTATTTAAAGAATCACAAGCCTCCTTCAGCCTCTTTACAGTCCCTTTGAGAGCTCAGCAAAACCCTAATACGTGTGTGTGTGTGCTCCATTGTGTGTTATAAGCTTTGGAAGAGGATTCTTGGGGAGAAGAGCTTGGGGAAAACAAGTTGATTGAAGCAAGGAACTCGTGGGAATCAAGATCTACTTCATTTGGCATCTTTTGGGAAGGTATTAAGTTGTTATCTTAACCCCCCCCCCCCCCTCATTTCATTCTAGACCTCTTTTGGGTGGATTTTAGGGCTTTTCTAGTATAATAAGAAGCCATTCATGGGTATAAGCTAAGATCTGAAGTTGTAACTTCAGATCTGGACCTTCCTTGGACTCTAAGTCCATAAAGTTTCAGCTTTGGAAAGCATGAACCTTCCCTCTAGTGTAAGACTTCTTTGCAAGTTTGGTTTTTGTCATTTTAAGGCTTTAGAGCTTTGCATGCGTGTAAAGTTTGCAACTTTACGTGATAAACATGCCTTAGAAGCTTGGATCTGTAATCTGGAACCTTGGCATGGCTTAAAACGTGTCTGCATGGATGAAGGTCTGCAAGGACTCGGCGAGTTGCATAGTCAACTCGCCGAGTCATATGAAGATGGTCGTGAACTCGTCGAGTTGATGAACAAACTCGGCGAGTCCGTTGAAGATTGCCTTGAACTCGGCGAGTCGTTCGAAGACTCGGCGAGTCGGCTAGGGTTTCTCCTAATTCTTGGAGACGTATGAACTCGGCGAGTTAAAACGGAACTCGACGAGCCAATCAAGGATTTCACGACTTCTCGAGTTCAGGAAGGACTCGACGAGTCGGTGAACTGCACTCGACGAGTCGAGTCAATATGGACTGTTGACTTTGACTGTGGACTTTGACCTTGACCAAGAGTTGACCAGTTGACTTCTGAGGGTATTCTGGTAATTTGGAGATTTATGAAAAAGGGTCTTCTGGTAACTATAGGTGGTGGAGTTCGTGTTGGTGATCCGGGAGTTGAGCTTTCTAGTTTCAGACGACAGTTGCAAGGTGAGTTATCCTCACTATACTAAGGGGTCTAAGGCACCAAGGCCGGCCCATTGGATATGTTATTCTAGCAGTGTTAGATGTTGAGTATAAGTT